CTTTCCCTGTCCTCAAATAACGGAATATGCGCATTATCATAACACATCGAAACTAGATCAGTCAAGTCAATGTTGCACCCAAACTAAACAAGGTGCAAGTGTGCCAATTTGTTTTCAGAGTGACGCTGTGAACTGCTTCACCAGCAGACAGTTCTCTGCTTTGAAACCCTCTGATGAGAGTACCCCAAAAACTAGCAGTGATCTAACTCAGACTGTGACAAGCCCAAGGCACCAAGGCAGCCAAGAATAACAGTTACCTGCCTGTAGATATTTAAGGTTGGGCTCTTGTCATAAATAATCCCTCCAGGTCACTCTGGCATCCATTTGAAGAGCCTCTGATTTCAGCTCTAAGTGGGCCAAAAGGGACGCATACACACTGCTGCTGCAGTTCCACTCTAGGCTGATCTAAAATAAGCCAGGAAAACTGCAAGGCTGATTCCTTCATTCCTGAAATGACTTAGCTGCAGGAGTGGGAGAGGATGAGCAACCAGGAAGGAACAGCTGTGGTCGTCTTCTGCTACTTGTCATTCCACATCCACAGCTCTAAGTGCTGACTTCTGCAGCACCCCACCCCTTGCTGGTGGCAGTGACGGTTGACTAAGAATAGTTAACCTGGCTGCAGACTAGCAGAAAAACACTAAGATTTTTTTTGTTCTTAGATACTAACAAAAGCTGGATACCTCTGTGATAGAGAACCACAGTGGCTTCTGTTGGAGTAGGTTTTGGGTGCAGGCAGAGGACAAAGTCAGTGTGGGAACCTCCCTCCTTGCCAGGGTCAGGGAATACTGCTCTCCTGCACAAGCAGGGCCCAGGCAGTGGTCACGGGAGAGGGCAGAGACAGTGCCAGCCCTGCATACCCACCACAAGCTACTAATTCAGGCCCCTCACCCCCTGGCAAGTCAACAAGGACAGAACGATGAAGGCAGATTCCAGGCCAGCCCAGTAGTAAAAGCTTCTAGATACAAAAGCAGCAAAGGGCAATATGGCTTCTTTAGGTGGAGCCAGTAAAGCAAAGGAACAGCATCAGTTGGCAGAGCTTTGTGCTAAGGAGTTTCCAGGAAAGGGCAGCAGACAGACAGACAGACAGACTTCCTGTTGCAGGCTGACCCTGGGGACCAAATGGACTCTCACCAGCTTCCATCACATAAAGAGTCTGTGAAGTTAATTTTCTGGATTTCTAAGGTGAATACCTGATTTTACCAGGCCCCTTCATGGATGAATCACACCTGGAATTTTGGCTAAAGGAGCTGTTCCTGCAGTGTCACATGAAAAGATGCATATGCATCAGCTTTCTTTAAAAGGAACATCTCTGGTTCTTTCCCCATCTTGACCCACCTGTAATCTGTCTAACAGAGAAAAGGCCTAGACTGAATGACAGACTCCACAGGTTCAGCAAACAGAGCAGACACTCTGAGGAAGATTTCCAGCCAGAAATGGGCAACAAGTTGACAGCAGCAGTAGCTGGGAAGCAGGACTGGACTGGTTTTAGATCTACAGGGGTGATGGGAGACAAACACAGAGCACACCAGGAGAAAGCTATGGCACAATGGACACCAAGGATGATGGAAATGAACTGAAGACAAGATAGCTAACATGGCGGATTCGCTGAAGAGACACGCACGGGGGTAACAAATGCCAGGCCATGCAATCGCCAAAGGGTCTAACCTGAAAGTTCTCAAAATGCATCAGGGACTTGCAGTGTGCGAGCCGGGCAGCAGAGTCGCTATGGTAGAATTTGTGACACAGCCTGCAGAGGTAACCTGCGACGGGGACCAGAAAATCCAGGCCTGCGAAACGGGAGGGGAAGGGAAATCACAGATCACATTGAATGGAACTCAAATAATGAAAGCATGTTAAAAGGGAAGGGGAAGGGAAG